TACCATATAGGTGAATTTATGGTATCGAAGAATTCATTTAAGAAGAAATGGCGGACGAAGTTTCCGTGGGACGGAGGAAGTAATCTTTTTTATCCACGTCTAAAATGGAAGCAAATATCTTTACGGAACATAGAGAGTACAAGTTAATATTTTTTTCTTATTCCTTTATATTGTGTTCCCCCTTTTTGATTTATATGGGCACATCTCCTTTTAAGTTAAATAAATAAATAAATAAATTTGTGCAGTTACAAGTAATTTGGATTGAAACATTGGCTGTGAACAAACTTAATTACAGGAATAGATGGTAATTCTGAACGACAAGAAATCTGTTGAGACCACGAGCTGAAAAAATTCAAGGGTTTCCCACAATATTATACACCTTTATGGTGCTAGGAAATACACATCATTCATATGGCAAGAGAATGGAATTATTTGGACGAATAATGCTATGTAATCTCATTAGGATTATAACTCCAATCTAGACGAAGATAAATGATGGGCTGTACGAGATGTAAAATTAAATGGTTATTTAATGTCACATTAACACTATCTAAATTAGGATTATAATTCCAATGAAATTAGATATCATTACTCTATTTGGACTGATTCTAAATTAAATGTTTAGTCTCCCCACATTGGAGGGTCCACATCGGAGGGACCCACTAAAAGAAGAAATTAAGGACACTGTAGGAACTCAATTGGACCAAAGATGCAAAAGTTTGCATAGATTATTGTGCATAGAAAACGATGCCCCCTTCAGCCTTTCTATCAATTTTGCTCCTTTCCCTGCAATAAGGGGCGTTTGGGAGGAATTTTTCACCTCTAAAAAATTGATTTTTAATCATTATTTTATTATTTCGATCGCAAAATTTGATTTCTTCTTTCACAGATGGCCCCCACTTTTCTCCTAACGATTAAAAAATTAAATCTCAAAATCGCTCCCAAACAGGGCCTAAATCTATTAGTAGTTTATTGGAAACAAAGAATAGAAACTATGCTCCATATAAATCTCGAGCGTTAAACGTATTTATAAGGAAAAATTGCAGCCAAGGTACCAAACCTTTTGTTTATTAACAGACTTTGTCCAAACTCTTCATTTGTGCCATCGGAGGTACAAAACCTTTAAAATCTTCGTAGATGCAATCCAAAATGACAATTTTCGTTTGTTTGATCATCAAAACCGTTAGTTGACTCCAGTAATTAAAAATTTAACAATTTTTCCTAAGTAAGTGAAGGGCAATTTTGACATTTAATAAGTCTCAAGTTCATCTTCTTCAACAACCCCGCTACCTCTAACCTCCCCAAATCAGATCAGAAGAGTCATCCCTATCCCCAACCTCCCAAAATCATATCAAAAGATTTACCATCGGCTACCGTCAACCACGATGCGATTCCTCCGACGATGAGTGTTGTATATGTGTGTAAAGATGCAATTCCCCCCGCATGCGATTTCTCAGTTTCTTCATTTTCCACCGTTTTCAACAAAAATCACATCTTCATCACTAAGATGTGTGGTGAGGGTTTCACTTGGAGCATATTGTAAAAGGACGTTAATGTGTTATCGATATTAATTTGTAAGGATAATTTACAGTTTGCGTTTGAATTTTTGAAGAGGGGCTGGAGATTCAAATTGAGTTGGGTGTTAGGATTTTAGTGGGTGTATACATATTGATAAAAGCTTACCTCTTTGAGAAGTTCTTGAAGCCATTTCAAATGTACTGTGCGGTGGTCGGCAATATTTTAGTTGGTGTATAGGGTATATTATGGATGGGAGACGGTCGATATTCCCTATTTCTTTAACTTGGTTTAATTTGCAGGTTATCAATTATTTCTTCGCTATTGTGCCGTCGGCCTTGCTGGTGTTGGATAGCAGTGGTGGTTGTTTGATTTTGGGAGGTGGGAAACGATGTGGTGTGGGGGTGAAGAAGACAACCCTTTTATTTTATTTTTTTTCCTTTTCTATTTCATTTTTTATTATTTAAGGTTTTAGAATTGTGAAGTTACTATTTTGCCCTTATATTTGATTAAATTCTACTATTTTGGTCAACTAACTGTTTTGGCGGTCAAACAGACAGAAACCGTCATTTTGGACTAGCCCTACGAATTTTTTAAAGGTTTGACACCTCTAATAACACAAATGAAAAGTTTGGATAAAGGCTGCTAATAAGCAAAATGTTTGGTATCTCAACTACAATTTTCCCTATTTATTACCAAAAGTTTCGAGGCATTTTGTTTTTTAAGTTGTTTCAAAGTTATCAGTATTCGCAAATACAATAAAGATAAAGCTAATATATTAATTTGATTGCTTGCTATCGACTAGTTTAAAAAATATTGACATTGATAGTCTTTTGAAGGTCCCATATCATGCAATTAGAAAATCAATTAAGATGAATTCCACTCGTAATCGAAAATCTTGTTTTGTCGAAAGGTCTCAATCTTTATCCATTTTATTGTTTAAATGGTATGTCACATTTTCACTTATTGTAAGGAATTACAAAAGAAGTTATTTCAACAAAGATGTGAGTTGAGTAGGATTGGTGGAAGAAATATGAACCGAAGACGGAACCTTGATATACCCTAGAACAATACATTTTTGTTACCACGAGACATATTGGTAGCCGCTGAACATTTGATTGAATTGAAATTTAGAATAGGTACACTTGAATGAATCATTTGAAAAATAAACGTCTTCATTCTATAGCGGATCTTGCATTTCAAAACTTTAGTTGAAAAATGAAATTTATTAATTAAATGTATTTTGATATTTAATATGGGAACACTAACTTGAGAAGGAATCTATTTTACAAATTCCCATAAACTATTTTCACTACCTACTATTTTGGGTGCCAAATTGCACTTTTAATTGGATTGTTTGCCTGTTTTTACTTTTTCCATAGTTCAGGAGATTTAGCCCCCTTTTTGGTGGTCATTATTTATTTATTTGGGAGAAAACATTGTTTTAAATAGTGAATTTTTCTTTTCTATTTTCTGGGAGAATGTATGGTTAGAAAGGTAGAAAAAAAGGTTTTGGGTTTTTAAGTGTATAATATTTTATCGAGTGAATGTAATTAAAAATGAGTATATATAAAAAGGAGTTGTGTACCAATATGAGACAAAAGGAGACTTACCCCATTTGGAAGTGATTTTGAGAATTGATTTTGTTACCATTAGGTGAAAAGTGGAGGCCACATGTGAGAGAAGAAGTTAAACTCTACGAATGAAATAGTGAAATAATTATCAAAAAATCAATTTTTTTAGGTGAAAATTCACTCCCAAACACCCCCTTAATTCAATGAGAAGTTAATTTTGCTTTAGAAAAAAAAATGGTTATTTGAGTATGAGAATTGTGTGACTTTTCACAAATTGTATTTGGAACTCAACGAGTTTCCGTGTGAATTGAGCCTGCAACTTGCTACTTTAAGATATAAGGGTGTGTTTGATAGCACACTATTTTCCATGGAAAATGGAAAATCAATACCATTTTTCAATTTTTGTAGTGTTTGATAGGTAAAATTTTTCATGAAAAACGAATTCCACCTTTGTTGGCCACATCACCATTTTCCATGAAATCTAATTCCAATTCTCACCAAAATGGTGAGAATTAGAATTCTCGGTTATTGTAGCATTTTTAAATTTTATTTTTTATTTTTTTAAGCAATGGAAATAAATTCTAAAAATTATTGTAAAAAAAATATTTCCTTTTAATTGACAATTTTCATGTAAAACAAAGCCAAACGAACACTAAAAGATAGATGATTTTTTAAAAATTTTTTGTTAGCAATGGAAATAAATTCTATATCCAATACCAGTAAATTCTATCGCTTTAATTGACAATTTTTATATAAAACAAAGTCAAATGAACATCAAAAACACTTTTATTTCAATATTTTTCACATGAAAAATTATACTAATCAAACACAATAATTTACAATTTCCAGAAAAATAATTTTTAGGTAACTCAATTCCCTAAATTTATTTTCTTTTACCCAAATTTCATATTTTCAATCAAACGTACCCTAAGTGTTTTATGGATTTAATATTTGGTATGTGGTAAAGAAGAAAGAGATTATAGGTTGTCTTGAGTAGGCATATAAATAAGCCTAAAGTTAAGTTCAAATTCGTCCAAAATTAAATAAAAAAATAATTTCTCTCAGTTTCAATTTTCAGGAGCATACATCTACTACATATAGGCGAATTTATGGTAATGAAGAATTAATATAAGAAGAAATGGCAGATGAAACTGCGTGGGACGATGGGAGTAATTCTTTTTAATAATATTAAATAAAATTTCTTAATACGTTTGAAAAACAAAATCAACTTATATAAATAAGATAGAGAGAATAATTTTTTTGGAAAATCCCAAACGACCCACGTCGTTGACACTTCGGGTGATCGCACCCTCACATGGCCGGCGTGGGTCCCCAATGAATAAAATAATCCTGACCTCCCATATGTTTGTATTATATCAATCATGCGGTCATCTGCGCAAATTATGTAGTTTGGTCCAAATTTTTTTTGTACATGTTAAGATGGAAGTAAATATCTTTATGAGACATGAAGGGTACAAATTATGCACCCGTTTGGCCTCCATTCTCATTCTCTCTATCTCTCTCTCTTATTTTCAACCACACAATCTTCCATAAAATAATATTACACGTAAATAAAAAACTTTTCGTTCTTTTTCTTATTCTTTTTTATTTTTTTCAGCTTTCTGACTTACAAGTAATTTGGATTAAAACATTGGGTTTGAACAAACTTAATTCCAAGAAAAGATAGTAATTTTCATCGACAAGAAACAAATTTGAAATTGCCCAAACTATCTTCATTAGTTACTGTTTGGGCGACAAAATGAACCTCTAATTAGATTGTTTGGTAGGTGAACCGTGACTTTTCCCAAAACGTGCTTGGAAGTCAACGAGTCTCCGTTTGGTAGGTGGTAATTAAAAGAAGAAAGGGATTATAGATTGACTTGGGTAGACCTATAAATGAGCCCAAAGTTAAGATCAAATTCATCCAAATTTACATGAAAAAAAAAAGAAACGGAAAAAAAATTCTCACGGTTTCAGTTTTTAGGAATATACACATACCATATACAGGCGAAGAATTAATTTAAGAAGAAATGGCGGAAGAAGCTGCCGTGGGACTGGGATTTCTGCTAGAAAACTTGAAGCAGCTACTTCTTTATAATGCACATCTGATTCTAAATGTGAAGAGCTACGTCGAATCTCTGCACAACGATCTGCAATTGTTCAACGCCTTTCTAAAAGACATGGCAAAAAGGGACAACAACCCTGAAGTCCCAAATACACTGGTGAAGCAAATCAGAGACGTTGTGTACGAAGCAGAAGGCTGTGTGGACATGTATGTTTCTCGGTCAGCTATGCAAAGGACTCGAAGTGGCCTAATGAAAGTTGTCCATATATTCGATGATCCGACGAAGCGTCGAGATATGGCAGAGAAGATTAAGTCTATAAGGGCCATGGTCAACGATATATTGGATGATACGCGAGATACGGCAGTGGAGAATAAGTCTATGAGGGCCAAGGTCAATTATATATATCAAGACAAGAAATATGGGTTTGAAGCCCAGCTAGTTGCTGCTCCTCCCGACAAAAAGGAAGAGGTAAATTGCCATTACTCTCTCCGATTAGTGATTTTAATTGATGAACTTGTTGATTGTGTTTACAATTTATCAGTTCCGAGCATATTTGGCTAAGCATAACAAAAACTTGGTAATTTGTTCAATACTGGGCATCTTGAGTGAATCTTGATATTAGAAATCAGTGGAACGTTTCCATAAAATAAGGAAACGCCAGATCTGATGAATTCAATAAGAACAAAATTTAAGTTGACATACCTCCCCTGTTGTTTCGAGAATTAATTCATTTTAATACTAATTTTAAAAATGTAATTTAAAGCCAGTTTGACGCACTTCTGCTACTTGTAGAAAAGCTCTTCTATCCAAACAAAGCAATTTGAGAAAACATGTTTTATTGTAGCTTCTTTATATCAGAAGTGGTTTTTATCTTTTCAAAAGCCTTGCCATATAGAGCCTTACTCTCTAAATAATTCATTGTAATTTATATATATCATTAAAATATATGACTGATAAAGTATGTTTTATAGTCCTGCTTGACATCCTTTCCTTTAATTTAATTTATTTCTCATACTCATTTTTAGCCATACATTCACACAATAATATATTCTACATGTAAACTCAAACTTTTTCCTACATTTTTAACCATATATTCTCCAAAAAATACTATTCAAAACTATATTTTTTAGATTATAAAGATGTCAAACCGGGGCTTAATCAGGGAGTAATACTATCTATTATTAGTAGATATGCATTACTAGTTAATTAGGTGGCAATGGGTCCCTTGCTTTGTTTTTTAATGTATTAAAATACATTACATCTCTAATGGATCATGAATCAGGATTTCATCGCCACCATTACCACCTAACTAATGATGCAGCTCTACTAATGACAAATAGCATTATTCTTCTGCTATTGATCCAAAATCTTTCTTTTACAGCGTATCTTCAAACAGTTGCACCACTAAATATCATTATAGGATTTGAGTGAAGTGTGTACTACTAAACTAAGTTTGTTACAATCTTGAATGTCATTTGGTCTCCATTTAATTTCAGTACTTTTATAACGATTACTGCTCATATATATTCAAGGCCCCAATTTCACCTCAACTGATTATCGCTCACTGTTTTAAAGGCTCCCATTGTGGAAGACAACGTGGTTGGCTTTAAAGATGAGGTCGAAAAAGTAACCAAACTTCTCATTGAAGGACCTGAGGAACTACAAGTTATATCAATAGTTGGTATGGCAGGTCTTGGCAAGACAACGCTGGCTAAAATGATATATACTGATCCTAATGTTATCTTTGAATTCTACAATCGTGCATGGGTTTTTGTTTCTAAAGAATATAGTAAAAAGGAAATGCTTCAGGATATTCTACAACAATTTACTAAGCCTAGTGATGTTGACATGAATGAAGACGAATTAGCCGACGAACTTCGTAAATTTTTGGAGAAAGGAAAATATTTAATTGTCATGGATGACGTGTGGACTAACGAGGCTTGGGATGATTTTAAAACTGCCTTTCCTGAAAACAAGAACAAGAGTAGAATTCTACTCACTACTAGTATTGAGAAAGTGGCTAACCATGCCAACCCCAACATTGATCCCTATAAGTTGCGTTTTCTAACTACTGAAGAATGTATGATTTTACTCCGAAGGAAGGCACTTGGATCAATGGAGTGCCCGGATGAGTTGAGAGAACACGAACTGCAAATTGTTCAGAAATGTGAAGGACTACCACTTGCAATAGTGGTGATTGGAGGAATTCTGCTAGGAAAAGGTAAGGAAAGTGAATCGTGGAAAAAAGTTGCTGAAAGTGTGGAGGCATTTATTAACATGGACAATGAGAAAAAGATGGACCATTTTATAGAAATGAGTTTTAACAATTTACCTTATCACTTGAAAACATGTTTTCTCTACTTTGGGATATTTCCTGAAGACTTCCAAATTCCGGTGTGGAAACTGCTTCGCCTTTGGATCGCTGAAGGATTCATACAGCAAAGTGAAGGAATGAACATGAGTTTGGAGGATATTGCTGAAGAGTACTTGGAGGATTTCATCAGCAGGAATTTAGTCATGGTTGGGCAAAGGAGGTTAAATGGCAAAGTTAAAACGTGCCATATTCATGACATGCTACACTTGTTTTGCAAGACAAGAGCTGCACAAGAAAGTTTTTTCGTCGAAATTACGCAACTTAATCAAGCTACTTATTCATCTCCCAACATTGACTCTGAAAAGTGTCGTCGCCTTTCCATCAATTCCAGAATTTCGAACTATCTCTTTTCAAAACCAAGTGGTCCACGTGTTCCACGTGTTCGGTCTTTTTTGTGTTTCTCCCATGAAGAAATAAGCTTGCAAAATGAGCAAAATTCTTCCATCCCTCGTGCATTTGAATTGCTCAGGGTGTTAGATGGTAAACCCATCCATTTCACTCGTTTTCCTCCTGATCTAACTCGACTTGTACATTTGAGGTATCTTGTTCTCTCCTGCAACTTCAAAATACTTCCTGCAGCCCTTTCCAGCCTTTGGAACATGCAAACTCTTGTAGTTGAGACATCATCACGCACCCTTGAAATCAAAGCAGACGTATGGAAGATGATTCGAATGAGGCATCTAAAAACAAACGTATCCACAACATTGAAAGGCCCTCTCGCTAAATCAAGGAAAAGTAAAGAAGATTCTCGGAACTTCCAAACACTTTCTACAATATCACCTGAAAGTTGTACAGAAGGTGTATTTGCTGCTGCTCCATGCCTAAGAAAATTGGGCATCCGGGGCAAATTAGCTAAACTGTTGCATATCAAGCATAATGGATCTAGTTTGTTCGATTGTCTGGGAAAATTGGATTACCTCGAAAATTTGAAGCTATGGAATGATGTATCTCCTCAACCACCTTCTGAAGGAAAAATAAGCAGCCTTCCCCAAAACTACAAATTCCCATCGAACCTGAAGAAGCTAACAATAGTAGAGACCAGGCTTGATTGGAAGCATATGTCTACTTTGGGACTGTTGGAAGGCCTTGAGATCCTGAAGTTGAAAGACAATGCATTCATAGGAGACTTGTGGAAGTCCCAGGATGGAGGTTTCCGTTCTCTGATAGTCTTGCATATTGGAAGGACAGATTTAGTTTATTGGAAGGCTTCTGCTGTTCATTTCCCACGGCTCAAGTGCCTTCATCTTAATCACTGCAGAAAGCTTGATGAAGTCCCATTCGAGCTGGCTAATGTTCCAAGCTTCCAGAAATTGGACTTGAAATTTACCACGAGAGCAGCAGCTGTTTCTGCAAAAACTATTTCGGAGCATAAAAGGCAGCCTGGTGGTAGTGGATTTGAGCTTTCGATTTACCCTCCGGATCATTATCAATGATCTCCATTTGTTCAAGGCTCAAAAATTCTACTTCAGAGGTAATACATTTAAATCCTTGTTCTCTTTACTTGATATGTCTTTTCCTACTGAAAATTTTGTTGGAATTTGGTTAAGTAAAACAAAGAAAAGTTGATTGCGTATCAATTTCGGCCAAATATCTGGACATGTTCCGATAGTCAAATCACGCAACTGAATACACTAACTTGTTCTACTCATCGAGTCGATGATCGTAGTATATTTGGAATCTCAAAACCAGTTTTGGATGAATAAGAAATTGTTGTCCAAAGTTAGAAGAAAAACGGAAATTCTATACATAATATCACCGCTCGAGCGGCAGCCTCACCTCGGGATTTGGATTTTCATTTATTTCATAACGTTTGTTACCAACCTTTTGTTAATTCCAAGCAAGCTTTACTTTATTTATTTCTTGTTTAAGATTCAATTTTGATTATCAAAAAGCGCACACACACACATACACCAACAAACTTAAGAAACATATATTTCATGGGAAGATCCAGGTTAGAATTATTCTTCCCGAATAGTAGCACCCAGACAAGATTGTTTTTTCTCCTCAATCTATTTCTTAAAATACTTTGTGGATAGATGCTCTTTCCGCTAATCCATGATCTGAATCACAAAAACCTGAAAGATATGAAATGGAAGTTCAATCAAACATGTAAAAATTTAATGATATGATCAGCTTAAGGACTTGTATATTTGTGCAGGCAGATAATCAAATGAACAATGATGTCTTGAATGTTGAAGAAAGGAAGTTTAGATGCATGGAGCCAATGTTTCTGTTCCCTGTGTTTTTACATTTCGTTCAATAAAAGGTTGCACCTTATTTAAGTGTATGTTGAACTTCAGAATATTTGTATTTCTTTTTATTCAGTGTGTTGTACTGCTGTAATAATTTTACCTTGCTTTAGTTTTTGAATATGGAATTACTGCTGCCTTCATTTTACTTACTTATAATTCTTCTTCTTGACAAAGTGGGCAATTTTGAAGAGGCAAATAGAAAACTGCATGGTCTTGCACTCTTACTTTTTTGGACCTAATGTAATTTGCGTTTGCTTGATGAGTATGGTATTTCTACTCGGAGCAGGTTTTGCCAAGTAAATTAAACTTACGTAATATTTTATTCTCGTACATATATATATATGGAGAGACTTATTCTCTTTGACCGACTGGTTGTAATATTTCAGGAGTTCAGAAATTGGAAGCTAATGGAAGGAGAGACTTATGAGTTATGGGTATACAATTAGGAGTGAGTTATAGAAATTTCAACTACAAATTGAGATCTATTGTGAAGTTTGGTATAGTTGCAATATAACTCCAAATCCTTCATTGTCTTTAAATTGGGTTTGGGTTTGGGTTTTTACATCTTATCCATAATTGTGTTAAATACATTGATGAATATATTCATTCCTATGTGTTTCATCAATTTATTGTTTCTTACAAGCTCTATCTATTATCATTTTGGGAAGTTTCTCAGCCATACTTACCAACTTATCAGTAGTTACCCATACTTACCAAGCCGTGCCATATGATTGCGTGGCAATCAAAAGATGGTGTGTTTTTTAAGTCTGAATGATTTGGTTTGAGCCACACTCATGAACAAAAATTGGACCAAACATATGATATTGAGACGTCATATCCCAAAATTCATTGGTTGGAAGTTATTAACAGATCCATCATTTTTTTTTTCCGAGTCATATTATCCTGATCAGCATCGTCCTACAATATAGGAATTCGGACATGGAGACCATCATACATTACTAGTCATCTAATATTCTATGCAGAATATGAAGGGAAGCTTGAGAATTTTTTAAAATATTGGATTGTTGGAAGGGTTTACATGATGACCCCAAATTCGGACATATTTTTTTTCATAAAACGGAGTATAAAACATTCTGTCTTCAGGGAAAAGTTGTGGTATCTTGACGTGTAATAAATGATGTTACCGATGGCTTGATTTTGTAAACAGGGAAGGTTAGTTTCTGTTTAACAAAACGTTTGAAGACTTGTTTTATGCAAATGTTAATTACTGTGAACAAGATTGACACATTACATAATTAGAGTTGTCATCCTTACTTTGGCTTAACATTTTAAACAAGTAAAGATTTGAAATTGGATTAATCTTTGTAAAAGGAATGTAATGTACAAGTCCCGTTTTCATTGAGAAGTATTGTACCCCTATTATGAAACACGACTTCCCGCCGGTCCACAATATAAAAGCACAAAAAACATAAAGTTTTCATACTACAGGCTTGTATATATTAATAATCACAATAAGCTTAAGCAGGTACATAGAAGACGATCATTTTCCAAAAACATAACTCAAGCATGTCATTTCTTAGTACAAAAAGATGATCAAACCAGTCCCTCATAAGTTGCGATCAAAAGAGGAGTCTAGATTAAAACCATAACACATTCGGGGTGATTAAAAACTTACTTTGAAAACCCATTTTTTAGTGCAAAGTTTTGAAAACCCATTCCCTCAGCCTTGTTTCTTTAAGACTTTAACATCCCGTCCCATGCTTTTACAGGCATGCTGATAATGTATTTTAAGCGAGTGCACTAAGTACTCCATCCTCTTATAAAGTTGGGTAACAATAATGAACTAGTTTTGCAATCTTTTTTCCATAAATCAGATTCTGAAGCAGTAGGTGACTATCTAATTTGCATAGAATGTTTTGGAATTGTTCCGAGACTCAGAGCCTTCTATATAATTTGTGAACTGTTCATTAGGTTTTAAACTTTTTGCATTCATTGCTTGAGCCTTCTAGTACAATCTAGCACCGCAGTCAACCTTGTCCTATAACTTTTTTGTTGAAGCAAAGGAAGATGAATAATTGTTGTTGTCGTTGGCAACCCAAGAAGAAAAGGATAAACAATCGTGGTACATTGACACCGGTGCCGCCAATCACATGAGTGGCAACAAGGAGTTATTCTCCACAATAAATGAGTTGGTAAAAGGAAATATTATTTTTGGAGATGAAGCTAAAATTCCAATAAAAGGTAAAGGTGATGTTCTTATTCGTGCTAAAAATCGAAGTCATCTTTTGATTTCTTAAGTTTATTATTTACTTGCTTTGAAGTCTAATATTTTGAGTGTGGGACAATTACTTGAGAATGGCTACGACATTAACTTGAAGAATCGTTGCCTTACTTTGAGAGATGTTTCTCATAAACTGATTGCAAAGGTGCCAATGAAGAAAAATAGAATGTTTTTACTCAATGTTAATGTTGACTATCCAAGTTATCTAAAAGCTTGTGTTGAAGACAATTCTTGGCTTTGGTACTTAAGATTTGGTCATTTGATTTTTGGTGGCTTGAAGACCTTGACGAATGAAGAAATGGTGAATGGGTTGCCAAAAATTAATCATCCCAATCAACTTTGTGAAGGATATGCCTCGTTGGCAAGCAAACTAGAAGAAGTTTTCCAAAGGAATCCACCTCAAGAGCAACAAAGCCACTCCAACTTGTTCATGCGAGGGCCAATCAAACCACCCTCTCATGGCAAAACAAATTATTTCTTATTATTTATTGATGATTTTTCTCGCAAGACCTGGGTTTATTTTTTGAAGACGAAAGATGAAGTTTTTGGAGCATTCAAAAAATTCAAAGCCCTTGTTGAAGTTTTTGGAGTAGTAAGAAACCTAGTGTTTATCATTTACATGTTTTTGATAGTATTGCCTCTCTTCTTGAAGGGCAAAAAGCAATTGCGCGTGAAATGGGTGTACAAAGTACAGAAAAGTACTTGAGGAGAAGTACAAGGCAAGATTTGTTGCCAAAGGCTATAGCCAAAAGCATGTCATTGACTATGATGAGGTCTTTGCCCTCATTGCTCGCTTGGAAACCATTCGATTAATCATTTTCTTGGCAGCTCAAAATAAGTGGAAAATTTGTCAAATGGATGTCAAGTCCGCTTTCTTGAACGGATACCTTGAAAAAGAAGTGTACGTTCAACAATCATTGGGTTATGTTGTCAAGGAACATGAAGATAAAATTTTGAAGTTGAAGAAGACGCTATATGGCTTGAAGCAAAAGCCTAGAGCATGGTATAGTCGGATTGACAAGTATTTTCAATATCATGGATTCATCAAATGTTCACATGAGTATGCTTTTTACGTTAAAAAGGATGCATTTGGAGGTTTTATGATTGTGTGCTTGTACGTTGATGACTTGATCTTCACCGACAACAATGAAAACATGTTTGATGAATTTGAGAGAATGATGGCTCAAGAATTTGAGATGATTGACATTGGGCTCATGTCATACTACCTCGAAATTGAGGTAAAACAAATGACATTTTTATTTTTCAAGAAGCTTATGCAAAGAAAGTTCTTGAAAGATTCAAAATGAAAAATTGCAATCCTGTGAGTACTCTCATTAGGTGTGGAACAAAAATGTCAAAATATGACGAGAGCACGAAAGTGGATCCATAGACAGCTTGTTGGAATCTTGAGATATTTGATACAAGACCCGATATTCTTTATGGTGTTGGTCTTGTTAGCCGTTATATGGAGACACCAACTTTAACTCACTTGGAGATTGCTAAAAGAATACTTCGATGTAGGTTCCCTTGATTATGGCTTAGCTTATTCATCTTCTACAAATTTCAAGCTTCATGGTTATAGTGATAGTGATTGGGCTAGTGATATTAATGATCGAAAAAGCACCACTGAATTTTTGTTTTTCATGGGTAACACCGCTTTCACTTGGTGTTCAAAGAAGCAACCCATTGTGACCTTTTCTACTTGTAAAGCTGAATATGTTTTCGCTGCATTGTGTGTTTGTCATGCCATTTGACTACGGAAATTATTGGAGATGCTTTATATGCCTCAAAAAGAAGCTACACCAATTTATGTTGATAACAAGTCAGCTATTGCTTTAGGTAAAAATCCTATGTTCCATGATCGAAGCAAGCATATAGATACGAGATTTCACTTCATTATAAAGTGCAATGAGAACAAAAAAGCTGGGCTTACTTATGTGAAGACCAATGATCAGGTAGCAGACATTTTCACCAAATCATTGAAGAATGATGATTTTACAAGATTGCGTACTTGGATTGGAGTTATCAAGAGGGAATCAAGTTTAAGAAGGGGTGTTGGAAATTAAACTTAATCCATGAATGATGAAAAAAAAAATTTTTTGATGCATGAATTAATTTATTTAATATTCATGCATTTATTTAAATCATGTATCCAAATGGTTCTTTGTATCCTATTATTCATAGTATGTAGGAAAAGTCATTAATTAGTCTCTTAAATTCATACAGTGTATTTGGAATCCTTTGTATCTATAAAAGGTCTTGAAACAAAATCAAAATCAACTTATATAAATAAGACAGATGAAGTAATTTATTTATTTTTAATGGAAGCAGATATCTTCCATAAACTATACTTCACAACTCATTTATTTTTCTTATTCTTTTTTTTTTTATTTTTCTACCTTTCTGACTTATATGGTTAAGTAAAAAAAAAAAATTGTGCAGTTACAAGTAATTTGGATTGAAACATTGGTTTTGAACAAACTTAATTACAAGTAATTTTGATCGATAAGAAACAAATTTGAAATAGCCCATAAACTGTCTTCATTAGTTACTGTTTGGGTGACAAAATGCACCTCTAATTGGATTGTTTGGTAGGTGAACCGTGACTATTCCCCAAACGTGCTTGGAAGTCAACGAGTCTCCGTTTGGTAGGTGGTAATTAAAGAAGAAAGGGATTATAGATTGACTTGGGTAGACCAATAAATGAGCCAAAAGTTAAGATCAAATTCATCAAAGTTACATAGAAAAAAAAAAATTCTCCCAGTTTCAGTTTTCATGAATATAAATTTACCATATATAGGCGAATTTTTGGTACCGAAGAATTAATTTAAGAAGAAATGGCTGAAGAAGCTGCCATGAGATTTCTGCTAGAAAACTTGAAGCAGCTACTTCTTTACAATGCACATC